GTTAGAAGGGCCCTGCTCCTTGGAGCTTACAATCTGAGAGGGAGGGACTAGTGGTACAAAAGGTAGTAAGTGTAGGGGATGGACTGGTAGGAGGAGTAGAAGATTCCATTATTAGCTGAGGGCAGGATAGGCTTCCCTGAAGAGATAGGATTTAAGAGATCGCCTAAAAGTGAGCAGAGTAGGCAATATTCTGATAAATTGGGGTAGAGAGTTCCAAAGGATGAGGGAAGCTCTGGAGAAGTCCTGGAAATGAGCATGGGAGGAGGATACAAGGGAGCTAGAGACCAGTAGGTCGTGTGAGGAGCAGAGAGGACGGTTTGGCTGATATTTGGAGACAAGATCGGTGATGTAATTTGTGGCAGAGTTATAAATGGCTTTATATGTTATTGTTAATGTTTTGAATTTTATCCGTTGGGCAATGGAAAGCCAGTGGAAGGATTGGCAGAGTGGGGTGGCAGATACAGAACGGTTAGTAAGGTGGAGGAGACTGGCAGCAGCATTTATGATAGACTGAAGAGGTCAATGATGCCACCAGCATCCCTTTGTTATGCATGACTATGCGGTAGAGAATTCCCCAGCCACAGCCTACTGAGCCAGCGGCCTGCTATCACGTGACCATTTCCCACGATCTTGGGCTTAACTGGGTTGAGCCCAAACCATAGTTATCACTACTAATAACTTTAATACAACAGGTCTTTTTTTGTAATATTACTGTTAAAACTTTATTCTGAAATTTTCTGATGGTGCTCATAGATATTTTATAACACATTCGTTGGATGAATGTCAGACGCTTTTGTGCAAGGTGAGCAAGTTTCCCTTTATTTCTTCCTAATAGACATTCTTATATCAACCATTCCCTTGAGTGGCCAGAATGTAGTATATTTTCTCATTGAGGTATTTCAGAAAGCTGTACTGCATTTTGGCCACTAGTTCTAACTGATAATACAGGAATTGCCCTAATAGAAAAAATATGTGGATATTTTGTTCAGCTTGCACAAATGCTTCTGACATTTGTCCAACGAATATATTTCAAAAAAAGACTCTGAAATGTTGAGCATCTATACCTTGTGAAGTGTCTGAATGTCTTAGAGATACATAGGACTGATGTAGATCTCTCTGAAAACCACTGTTGGGGAAAAACGATAAAATCACTTATGTCAGTACTGAGCAGAGAGCAATGTTGGGTCACATGTGCATAAAGTACATGGCTGAGTGTTCAGATTGTATATGGCTGCAGCAATGCATCCAAGGGGGTAGTATAGGCTCTGTCAAGGATCCTGCTAACAATCTGCAGTATTAATTTGCTTTATAATGCTACTGTATGTTTCCATGCTCTGCGTATCGTGTAAATCGCAGAGGTAATAATAGGAGAAAAACTAATGAATGAGCTTATGGTTTGGTTTCCAGGTAAACCACTTCAAAAGATGCGTACTTCTAATGGGTAATGTATTTATATTCATGGGATGTTACAAAATAGATTAATCATTTTGGTGCACCATTCCTCAAGAGGAATCATTTGCTTACTGATTTCATTAAGTAAATGTACTGTAATTATTCATTGCTGCTGCACTCTGGACCTTCCCGGACTTATTGTCTACAGTGTTTAATCTTCAGATTGTATGCACAGACTGAACAGAACACACTTCACTCCGGGGATAGCGGATGGAGAGCCTCATGGACAAAACACTGGAAGGATATTGTTCCCTCTAACAGTTCATTGGATTCCTTTTTTCTTTAGCATATATGAGAAAACACACTTCACCTTCTAACCTTTGTTATCTATATGAAATTTAGAGGGTTTTTTTTTTTCAAATCTATTGAAGCTTTAGAGAGAAGCTAGTTAGCACAATGGGGCATTGAATTGATGGCCCATGTGAGCACCATTGTGCCCAGTCACCTAATTCCACAGGGAGATGTCAATTTGCTCAATCCATGCCATATAATAAAAATTATAAATAATGGGTGAATTGACATGCCTACAGAAATAGAGTGAGCTAGCTATACATTAAAAGCCTCTGCAAATAAGCCCTGAAAAGGGTGAAACGCATCTGAGGAGTTCTTTACAGGTAGAGAACAAGAGCCGAAGCCATGTTTTACCCATCTCATTACATTTATGCTACAGGTAGTCGGTGTCTGTGTGCAGGCAGCCACCATTTTGTTGAAGTATACATTAGAAGAATTTCATTAGAATGTTTTCATTTTGAAGTGGAACTTTATTGTATCTGAGCATCAAAAACTAAAAACCACTATTTCATTTTTAATATTCAAAGCAAACTCACCCATCCGTCCATGTCTCCTTGCTTTATTTTACTGAGAAATCACTTTGACGAACACCCCCTAGCATTTCTGGCCGTGGCCAGAGCAAGTGATACATGCTTTAGCTTAGTTTTTACATGAAGGAGACATGATCACCATGTTCATTTAGGGCACAGTACCAGTATTAATAAAGGCCACCCCAATTGTGCTCACCTTACCAGTGCTTTCTTCTAACTCCAGCATCTGATACTGCTGGATAGGAAAACACAGTGCTTCAAGGTATGAAGAGCATGTGATTTGCTACCATTGTCCAGCAGCCAATCACTGCCAACAGTGCCAAATTTTTGTTCCTGGTGCTGCAGAGGCAGGAGCATTGAGGAAGCGCTGGTGGAGTAAGTACAACTGGGTGTGGGGCAGGACCTTCAAAACTCCGTCTCTTAGCCCTGCATGGGCATAACCTGTCCACACTTGGTCAGATGTAAGTTTCAGATTTGATATTTCACATTATATATAATATAAGGAATAATTTTAGGTAGGCCCCCTCACTGCATAAGTGCTGGTAGGTTTTGTTGACCTAACAGATCACTTATGTAACAAATTATTTGTGCTGAACTTGGTTGAGGCCTCAAGTTTCCTATTAAATGAAAAGGCAAATTTTTTGTTGAGTTATATGTACTTTTGCAACACACAAATTACATTTCTAAAATGTAGGTTTTCTGATGTGATCTGTCATCATCTGACATTCAAAACTCCGTCTCTTAGCCCTGCATGGGCATAACCTGTCCACACTGGGTGTGGGGCAGGACCTTCAAAACTCCGTCTCTTAGCCCTGCATGGGCATAACCTGTCCACACTTGGTCAGATGTAAGTTTCAGATTTGATATTTCACACATTATATATAGTATAAGGAATCATTTTTAGGTAGGCCCCCTCACTACATAAGTGCTGGCAGGTTTTGTTGACCTAACAGATCACTTATGTAACAATTTATTTGTGCTGAACTTGGTTGAGGCCTCAAGTTTCCTATTAAATGAAAAGGCAAATTTTTTGTTGAGTTGTATGTACTTTTGCAACACACAAATTAAATTACTAAAATGTAGGTTTGCTGATGTGATCTGTCATCATCTGACATTAATACGTAACACGGAGCATGGAATCTGTATTCATTTAAAACCATGGTTAATATTCAAGAATTAGACTCCATTACTTGCTTTCCTCCCACAGTTGGTGACTCACTAGATGGTTATGAATCAGGAATCGGGTATCTGACCACAGAGCTCTTTAAAGCAGCAATCACTTTTATTCAGCTTTGAATTCTATTTCTTCCAGCAGTAGAATAGGACAGCCAGGATGCTGGCCCCAGGAGCTGTACTATTTTGGTTTCTTTTTGGGCTTGGAGCATGATGGATTAATGCACACATAAAAAAGGAAAAGTGAGTAATCATTATTCAAATAGAATTAGAATCAGAATAGGTTAATTTGATGAATCTTGGGTTCTTCTCATCCTTATTTAGCATGTAACCAAATACAAGAGCCCTTAATGTTTGGGAACTCATTTTGTTGCCCCATGTGGGTTTATATCTTGGTATGACTTCTTTATCCCCTGTCATAAGCCTTCCCCCAGCCACTGTCTATATTTGTATAGGAAGAGACTTCACATGGAATAGAACTAATATTTATTGCGGCTTCCTGGTATACTATCCCTACCAACAGTTTAGTGATCACTAGGAGAAGCCATTGAGGTTACTGCATATTCCTTTATTTTGTGCTATAAGAACTTAATTTCTATTCAAGGTTCCACTTTCTTCAAAACTGACTCTGGATCATCATGATACAAAAGGTGGCACATACATGAGTACCTGAAAGTAGTTTTCTAGGTCAGTTATAGGCTACTCAGACTTATAGGGGCAAAATCTTAATTTTGGTCATGGACTATATTTTGTTAATTTAAGGAAGAATCAAGCATTTCAAATAACCTTTTCATGTGTGTAGCCAAGAATTCTAAAAGGATGGTTGTGGTAATCAGGTAGAATTGGATTGTCAGTAGCAGGTCATGTTAATGAAATAACATATCTAAATTGGCTGCTGCTACAGCATTTATCACAAGATTTGTTATGTTTTTCAATATTATTAACATTTGTTAACTCACTGCATGCAGTGGAGTTTAAAGGTTTTGTGAACTAGTCATGTCACATCAGTAACATCATAACATTGCCCCTTTATTCCTGCAGATTTATGATATTCCACCATCCGTGAGTAAAGATGTTCCAGATGGTCCTCAAAGAGAGGAGACCTATGACTTCCCACCTGCTTTCTCCAACCAGAAAATGCAGATTCAACCTCAGGCTCCTAGTCACATCCATGATCCTGAGCCATACATCCCTGAAGATATCTATGATATTCCTCCTGCTGCTGTTAAGGGCAATGACTCATTTTCCCAGGAGATATATGATGTCCCTCCTAGCTTAAGAAAACCTGCTGGACAACAAAACTTCAATGATGTTTATGATGTTCCTAGAGAATTCCATGGAGGAAAAGCCTCACTGGAGACTGACTCAGATTATATATATGATGTTCCTCCCCAGGTAGATAGGGAGGTCAAAGCTGTGGATGAACTGGCTGGAAGCTTTAAGAGGCTGTCTGCCTCCAGCACAGGTAGCACCAGGAGCAATATTTCCACATCTTCCCTTGATACAATTCCAGTGAAAGAATCTTCTGTTATTCAACCAAAGACTCCAGGGAAGGAGCTGAATCTTGATCTAGATGCTGCCATGGAAATGTTGGTAAAGTTACAGCACGGTGTTAATAGTTCCATCTCCTATTTGATGTCCTTCATTAGCAGTACTTGGAGAAGTCCAGAGCAGATGGAAGCTAATGCACAAAGCATCCAGGCTGCAGTGGAAGGGGTGAAAACCACAGTTAAAGATTTGCTGGAATTTGCCAGAGGAGCAGTTGTAAACTCAACTCAAGCATCCGATCGAACTCTGCATGCCAAGCTTAGCAAACAATTACAGAAGATGGAAGATGTTTACCAACAACTGCTTAAGCACAGTCAGGCATTGGATAGCAGTAACTGGGCTGTGAATGTTTTGGTAGCTAGCAAGCAGGGTGCTACAGATGACCTTGATCGCTTTGTCATGTATTCCAGAGGGATACCAGATGACACCAAACAGATGGCTTCTTTTCTACATGGAAATGCTTCTTTGCTCTTTAAAAGGACCAAGCACCAACTTTCAATAGGAGAGTCCCAGTCTGGGCAGGACAATAGCAATCATTTGGCTAATAACAATAATAATTTGTCTGTTGGTCAAACGGGACACACGGAAAAGGCCAGTATACAGTCAAGGCCTTTGCCATCTCCACCCAAGTTTATAGCAGAAGAATCTCCTGATGGACAGTATGAAAACAACGAGAGTGGCTGGATGGAAGATTATGACTATGTCCATTTACAGGTGAGTGTACATGCTACTATATAGCTGCCTTAGAATAAAAAATAAGATTCAGTATATTTATTTTCTACCATCTGAACCAAACACAATGCTTACATCCAGAAATTACTTTACAAATTGGAAAAGTGTCTATGTGCAATGTTTGTGAAGGTTATCGAAGCCATTTCATACCTAGTGTTGTATAACACTACCTAGTCATAATCGCATTCAACTGGACTTGTTCTTTAGTGCTTTCAACATTACATTAAAGCCCTACACAGCCTTTTCACAAGTAATGCCCAGATTTGGTCCAGAATTAGGTTACCTATGGTGACTCAAAGGAACACATTTCTTGGCAAGTAATTACACATTTATGGCGCAGAGGTCGACCTGTGTCACAGTAGACTGCCAGCTTCACCCTGTGATGTGTCTACTTCAAACGTATTTGTGAGCCAGTGGTAGGTTACATATCCTAAGGGGTAGCAGAACATGAAGTACAATGCTTTGTCTAGTCCTGAGAGATACAATATGAGTAATATTTAACAGGTGTGCCCCAGGTCTATTCAAGATCAAAAAGCAACCTAATGTAAGATATTTATGGTCTCCTACACCTAAAGAATGTTGTATAATTAGCTCTAACCAAAAAACACTAATCATTGCTTGCTTTTTAGTGATGTGATGCCTGTTTTATAATTAATATGTAAAAAAGTATTAAGCATAGTTAATTTTTTCATATTAGTATCATACAATATAAATATACACAGCAGAGGATTGATATAAAATGCTAAAGTGCCACATGAAAAAAACACTTTAGAGCATTTCTGGCAAGGAAGGCTGGTTAGAACTGGGATGCAGATCGAACTCTCATGTGTATTGACTGCCTGATTTCTAATATTTGCTTATCTTCACTTAGAAGTTGTATTGTCCATATTGCTGTCACCCAGTTGCCTCAGTCCCGTTTTCCCTCAAAGATGTTCTTCCTTCTTCCTCGGATTGCATATCACTAGTAGAGTAGGAGTCAATCTATTCCATCAGAGACCTTTGAGGGCTTCCTTCATATAGGTAGTATTGTTTTGGTGCCCATGGACATACAGAGATTGTCATTTAAACTAGTTTTGCTTCAGTTGGGATATGATTGTATGTTTTTGTGCACTATGTGTTCTCTGCAGACACCACGGGGTTTATTTACTAAAGCTGGAGAGTCCAAAATCAGACTCCCTTCTGCATAGAAACCAATCAGCTTCTAACCTCAGCTTGTTCAATGAAGCTTTGGCAATGAAACCCGGAAGCTGATTGGTTTCTATGCAGAAGTGAGTCTGATTTTGGACTCTCCAGCTTTAGTAAATAAACCCCCACTTGTCTGGCCAATCTCATTGAAAGTATACACTGGCCAGCTAAGATTTTTTTTCCAATCATTACTGTTACCCAGAGTTAAAGTCAGAACTAGGGGAATTTGCACCGTACATCAATATGTATGCTTGGATGACACATGAATCATGATTATTACCTGTAATGTTCTAAAAATGCCAAAGTGATTATACAAATCCAATGGTTCCAGTGCATTCTTGGTTACTAACCTGGAACACATTTGCTGACATAGGGCTCTATATACACTTACAAGTGCAATGCACTTTTTATGCCAATCCATGGCAATGCATAGTGCTTTCACACCAGTGCCTGGTGGTGTAGTAAAAGGAAGATGCATTGCTTTATGTTGTGTATGTGCATTGGGGCTGCCATTCAGAATGAATGGCAATGCATATACCGCGTTATGTTGCACATACATTACACATGTGGTTCAAGCGCAGTAATTCGTGATGCCACTCACCCACATAGGTGTGATGGGAACCTGACTGTCCTGGCTGCATACTTGTTCTGGGTGTCCCAGCAAGCTAAATAACTGTCAAAGAAGCCTTATAGGGAAGATGCCATTGTCTTACAGACTGCAAATTAATTATCGGTCAGAGACTGCCCTTACGGTGATGCGGAACAGATGCTTAAAAAGACACTTTGCCCATTTCAATAAAAGTGACAGTGTCCCTTGATAGTCCATCTCCCAGCAAGCATACTCACTAACCTAAGCTTCTTCACCACCTCCTGCTCTTTTGGAGCCCTCTTTCCATTGTCCTAACATGCAACCTACTCCATGTGACAGTAGGTGAGAGATCTAGGATGTAATCCATCCTGGTAACCTTCAACATTACAGCTTAGACTGGGTGGAATTCTGCAGTGGGGATGCACTGATAGTGAGGTTTGTAGATTATACCTTGCTGGGGGCAAAAGGGGAGGCTCTTAAGTGAATAAGCAAGGTGGCATTGGCTTTTTAATTGGTCCAAAGCTAGTGTTTACTCAGGGGTCAAATATTGGTAGCTCTTCTCACAGGCTTCTTGTCTCATAGTAGACATCATACACTGTTACCAAAGAAAAAAAGTTCAAGCACAGAAAAATCCAGTATTTTACATGCATGTTTTTTCTTTCCCATAAATAATTTCTTGTCCAGTTGCATTGTGCCTTTGAACTTACTAGAAAATGTGACTAGTCAACTCTGTAGCACTCTCTAGAACATTTTGGGAGTGTCTAGAGCAGCCTTTCTTGACCTTTTTAACACAGAGGAACCCTTAAAATAACTTTCCAGTCTCCGAGAACCCCTGCTAATAATTACAATATCTACAGCTAATGTTCTGTTAGTGATGGTCACTGGGAAGAATGTTCCTTACATTTGTGGTCCGTGGGAAGAATCCTCCGTTATAAGTAACTAAAAGGATCACTTATGCCAATGTTTACTTATCTGATAAGTGAAAATTGCTCATTGCTCAAACAACCCCTAGCAACCCATGGAGGAACCCTAGTTGAGAAAGGTTGGTCTATAGTATCTATCAAATTACTCTCTGTGTTGGCCAAGGTCCTCCACCTTGCCCTTCACCTCCCCACATAAACTTTTATGGAGCTTTGTGGGAGGTGAAGCATAATGCATGCTATAGATGATGCGATGTTCTTTCCTGTAACCCAGGGTTGCCCGATTCCCCCATCAACACAGTGTTGATGAGGGAATTCCTCCCATGGAGCTATTGTGTTCTCCCGGCAGAGGGGGAATGGGGAGCTGTACCTCCTGGGAGAACAGTAATTACTGTTAGAGGCTATAGTCACTGCAATAATCACATGTAAAACTTTAACATGCTGGTTGTACCCAAGTCGTACAACAATTGGGTACAATCAGCCTGCCCATAGATGGTTAGAATCTCGGCTGGTCCCTGTTTAACCAGCCGAGATTTGTACCATCTATGGCCAGCTTAAGGGACTGCTAAGTTGATCGTGCCAAGCAGCAGTCTCAGGCCTTTTGGATGTCTACACATGACAGGTTTTCATTGGCATATAACATGCCTAAAATACATTGAATACAAATATAACATTAGGGGACTATTGATGATTAAATGAATGGCCTGACAACAGGGTCACTTTAAGCAGTAGCTTTGCTATTGCCATGTAGCCAGCCAGGCAAGAGCTTTGGACTAAACAAGTAAGGTGGGCTAAAAATGTTCCAAATAATGAGAAGTCAGAAGACAAATCTCTTGTTGGCATCCTTTCAAATCATGTCTCTTCTGTCTGTATAATCAGCAACTTTGATGTTGCATGGTCAAGAGAAGGTGAGATGACAGAAGACACTGTCACTTTAATTGAAATAAGACTTTCCCTCATTCCAGGCAGAGAAGGTTTAATTAATCCTGACTTTAATTATTTCAATCATTCTGCAAACTCATGCACATCAATAGAGGAGCCAAGGCTTTCTTGCCATCTGGCGACAACTGCAGACACGGCTGTCAAAATTGCTGCGTCTGCTAAAATCAGAGTATCCTGTATAGTTGGCAAGCAGGCGGTTTATTTAATGATATTTACATTTTGCCTTTAAAGGTCTGATGCTGTAGCACACTAAATAAAGCCTCCAGATTAGAAAAGGTGTGCACAGCTGTTCTGATACATGGCTTAAAGGAGACTGATCGAGCACCTCACTGCAAATCTGCTGAATCAGCATCTTGACTCTTGTTTCACCTTATAATGAGCATCTCCCTACAGAGAGGGAGAGAAATGCTGTGCTCCGGATTTCTTCACATGCAGTCAAAAATTGCTTACTTTCTGCATGTACTTCAGCTTGTATTGTGTTTTTGATGTCAGCATCTGAAAATTACTAAAGCAGAACCTGTAATACCTTATGATGTTGTGTTATCCTCCGATATTTCAAAGTGCTGACATCACATTCTTTATGCTTGTTAAAATAAGTCACTTCAAATGTTACTGATGAGCAGAAACCCATGGAAGCATATTTTATTTACTGTTACAAAATATTACTGAATATCCCATTAGAGCAGTACATGGAAGTGATCATAAACAGATTGTTGGGGTTCTTTAATATTGCAGTTGAAAGAGCAATGGGACCTAGGTACTGACCCAGCCATATACTTGTTACACATCTCCCACCTACCCAAACATAAATACATAAAGTCGATTTTGATCCATCTAGTGAATGAGGCTGAGGCAAACAGGAGATATCTCTTTACACTGTGGTTCTCCCAAGATCACTGAAATCCACCAGATGGAAAACCTCACTGCAGCTCTTAGGGTAATGCAGAAAGGTTCAGGCGCATATGATTCTAGTGGACCATGTTCACGTGTTCTAGAGAGTATGAAACACGGCTGGCAAGCGACACATAAAACTCCATAGGCCCAATTTAGTGCCCCACGATCGGGCCGTAAGCATGGGAGCTCCAGGAACTTCCTTGTCTTGCAAAACTTGGGAAGTAGGAACTTTCCACTCTCTTCCCACCCAACACTCTTCTCTGCTCCTCTTCACCACTCCTTTTTTTCCCCATATCCCCCCTCTCTTCCTTTCTCTTTTTGTTCTACTTAAAGTGGAACTTTAGTCAGACAATTAAGTCTTGCTAGATCAGTTCAGGCTGGCCCCTTATGCAGATAAAGCTATGTAAAACATACAAAAATAAGTGCCTTTGCTGATTAAAATCCAATAATAC